GAACGACCCTTTCACAGGGGTCGCCTAAGACCATCGGAAAACAAAAAGATATTTACATTACGATTCATAACAGTAGCAAAATTACAGTGATAGAGGAGCAACGAAAATAATTGTATGGTTGGGGGTCACCACAACATGAGGAACTGCATTAAGGGGTCGCGGCACTAGGAAGGTTGAGAACCGCTGCTCTAGAAGCTCTTAGTTCCTTGAGATATAAGTGAAGCGTGTGCACATGAAGGAACTAGATTTCCAAAATGTCACAAGAAAGGGACTCAGGGAATCCCTTGTCATGCATAGCAAATTGAACACAGTAGGAAGAAACAAAATAATAGACATTTGTCTGAATTGGAGAATGAGAGAGAGAGAAAATGCAGGAGTCACTGGCATTGGGCCTGAAGGGATTTATCCAACCCTTGGATTAAAAAGTCAGCGGTCCCTGGGCCGGCTGAGTGGCTCAGTTGGTTAAGAGCTCGCTCAAGAGTTTGAGCTCTGAGCAACAGCGGTTCGAGTCAGCCCGAGCTGAGCAGTCGCTGAGCTGCCAACAGGTGGCAGGATGGCTCAGCTAGAAAAAAAAAAAATGTAAAAAGGCAGCGGTCCCTATAAAAATCTCTACGTTTAAACTGAACATTAAACTCTCTGATAATATAATGTTAACAAGAAGACCTTTCTTTGATTTAGTATTTCATTCATTAATTGATTCATTCATTCAGATATTTGCTGAACACTGTTTTAGGTTCTGGGCATTCATCAGTGAACAAAACAGAAAAAAAAACCTTTCCTCAGGACTATATTTTAGTGATAGAGATAAAGATAGGCAACAAGCAAAACAAATGCAAATATGCATGGTATGTTAGATATAATAATTACTAAAGAGGACAAAATAAAACCATGGGAGGAAGACAAAACATCAGGGTAAAGGGAGGGGAGTATAAAGTCTTAGAAACAATGACTAGGTTGGGGCTCCCTGAGAAGATGACATGCGAGTAAACACCTGAAGAAGCCTGAGAACTTAACCATGCAGATAGCTGAGGAAATACTATTCCAAGCAGAAGGAACTGTAAGTGCAAAGGCCCTGAGACAGACACATGTCTGGCACATTTAAAGAACAACGAGGAAGCTAATGTGACTATAGTGGAGAGAAGATGGAGTAGACTAATGAGAGATGAGGGAAGACAGCTTATTAGGTAATAAACTTAGAACCTTAGAGTGCGGAAGAATGGTCTTAGACATGCGAGGTAATAAAATGATACCCCTCACAGGGAATAAAGCCCCACAGGGTATATTGAGGACTTTTATATAGGAGAGAGGAACACGAGAGTCAGGGATAACTCCAAGCTTTTTAGCCTGATTGACTAAAAGAATGGAATTACCATTCATTGAGACATGAGAATCTAAAGACCAGATGTAGCAGGGAATATCAATTCATTTGGGATATGTAGGAAGCGAGTGGGAAGCACTGGTAAGGGACTAGGGGAATGAGACAAAACAGAGAAAACACGGGTTTCCTTATTAAATTAGTTCTGAGGGTAAGCTGGAACTCTCGGGGCCAAGGTAAAATTTGTATTACAGAGTTAACGACCCAAGCTGATTTTAATCAGCCCCCATGATTCATTCGTTCAGGATGCAGCTGAGGTAGAAGAGGGAGTGGGCTTAACTGCCTGGCTCTCCGAGAGAGAAGGGCCTCAGGCAAAGCGCTTCAGGGGTCTCCCGGTTGGAAGCCTGGCTGATTGCAGTCAGTGATAAGGGCCAGAGGATGTGGGAGGTTCTTCCTCAGCATCTGCCATAACTAGGCATTGGTCCAGGCCCCTGGCACCTCTGTCTTAGGTGCCTGAGACTAGGGAGGGTCACACAGCTGGTAAAGCCACATTAGAACCCCTATCTGTCCAACCCTGAAGCTCATACTTTTCCCTCGACTTCTATTTTTAAGGTCATGAGCTCTTAGATTTTTAGTATTCTCCAACAACATCAGCCCAGGGCACAGCTAACCACCAAAAACTCCGGAAAATCTTGTACAGAACTTCAAAAGACCTAAAACACCCATCGAGTCATAATCTATTCTTAAAGTAAAAGGACCGTTCATACCCAGGCTTCTTCATGTAATGTTTTGCTTATCAGAAAAGACATGTCAGAACTCAAATTAGGATATGAGCGTGATTATTTAAATAAACAAAAAGGGAAGGAACCTACTACATGTAACCATGGGCCGAAAAACTGGAACACAATGTAACACACTGAATTTTAGGAAAGATGAGATGGAAATCTACAATACATACTCATCAAGGGTCTGTAACAGATAAGACTTAACCTTCATCACCAAATCTTGATGACAATAAAATTTGGGAGAATTCTTTAAAGACTAGGATTTGTATCTTATCTGTTAAATGAATAGTAGGACCGTGGAACAGGGCTTAATAATAGATCAACAATGTACGTTTTGATAGTAGTTCTATATTGGGGTAATAATGGAAACGAAGATGCTGTTTGGAATATATTTTAACTTATTTAAAAGCCAACACCTTTCTAAAACACAAGTGAAAACAATGTTATTAGCCCTGGCGCTAAATGGACTAGTTGCTTGCCTATGGCATGTCCTCCTATTTCATAGTTTCCAATATCTTTGATATCTTTTCTTTAGCCCCGCCTCAAAGCATGGATTATTACCAAATTGTTTCTTTGATCCTACAGTATTAATTACCCTTTGTGCTCTAAAAAATATTTCTCCTCCTTGATCTTTCTCTTTCTTTCATGATTTCCCTATGACTGGATGTTTGATGTCATGTATTTACAGTACATCTTTGTTATCTTTAAAAGGTGGAGACAGCTGTGTTCTGATTAATACAGAGATGACCATATTTGTCACATTTGGATTACAAAATACTTTTTAATTGAATACAGTAAAATATGTATTGTACACTAAAACCTAGGCTGAGCAAAATTAGTTTATTAGATAACGTAGAAATGAGGGAAGGAAACAATGTTTATTATAAGCAAAGAGGATAATTTATGTGTTAGGCATGCTTCAAAATTTTTACCTATAAATTTTATTCTTATATTGATTCTGCAAGGTAGGTAGAATGACCAGCTACAGCTGGAATTTAAACCCTGGTATGTGGAACTTCAAAGCCTACACCCTAGGAATTATATAAATTTTTAAGAATTGATATAAATTTACCTGTCTCGGTAATTTTAATGAATACCAATTAGTATCACAGTAGCAAAAATTAGAAATGACTGCTTATAGATCCCCCAAAAGCAAATCTTCAAGTTAAAAAGTAACATGAATAAATATGTAAAATAAATGTGTAGTTTCTATGTCAGTAAATTTCACTGTTAGTTACTCAGTTTTTTCCTCATCTGTGGAGAAAATATGCCCTTGATAGAAACTGATCTCCAGCTGATGAGGGATACTCTTTCAAACCACTAATCCACCTACGTCTTACTTCAACAATAAACTACCCAATGCTGTATCTTCATGGCCTGAAATACCAGTAACTTGGTTTCAGGGTTCTTCACCCACAAAGATTACCTTTCAAAATGTAAATAATAGTTTACTCACATACGTCCAAAATCAAAGAAGCCAAATGTTGTATAACGTAAAACTTTTTCAATAGATGTTCATGTGTGAAAGCAATAACTGTGTCTTTTGAAGTCTTCACAATATAGTACCAGTTCTCCTGGCATCTTAACATTTGTTCTATCATATAATTATATTTGTCACTTTTGGGTAATTTTTCCCTATAATTTCTATATTTGACATTCACTAACGTAAGTTGATCCGTCTCTTGATTCTCACCTGGTGTGGCAGAGACATCTCCATGCCACCAGCCTTCCCACTTTCTTTATTAAAAGAATCCCCACATTATAGCTGGATACTTTGCCAGCCAGCTGCAAAACTCCGTTCCCTGTCTTCCTTGAATCTAGATTCAGGCATATGACTGAATTCTAGTCAATGAGACCCATGCATGCAGGTATATACACAATGTGTGTGTTACTTCTGGGAAGTCGCAACAGGAGACTTCTCTCTCCTTCTGCTTCCTGCTGTCTGGAATATTTGTTAAAAGGCTGGAGCTCTAGCAGCTATCTTGGACCATTAATTGACCTTTCCTCAAGACTATTTTAGTTATAGCGATAGGCAACAAACAAATGGAAATATGTATGGTATGTTAGATACAATCATTTTTAAAGAGGACAAAATAAAATCGTGGAAGGAAGACGAAACATTAGGGTAAAAGGAAGGGAGTATAAAGTCTTAGAAAGGGAGGCCCACTGCAGTTCTGGACTGCCAATCTCCCAGATTTCTTTCAGCCTCTATTGTTTAGGTCTTCTGTAATGGCAGCCACACCTACTCCTAACTATACAAAGATTAAAGAGGTCATTTTTATAAAATATTCTTACCTTAACAAACTAAACTCCTTAACCAAATGTTTCCTCTTTTGGTAGTGACCAAGAAGACGAAATGGCAAAAGCACTTTTTACCTTTGGCCCTTTGGTAGGGATAGTAGATGCAGTGAGTTGGCAAGATTACCTGGGAGGCATCATACAGCATCATTGCTCTAGCGGAGAAGCAAATCATGCAATTATCATAACTGGGTTTGATAAAACAGGTAAGTGTGATAAGACTTGATTACTTTCCAGCTTAAACTCTGAATGACCAGTGATCTCCATCCTTTGAAATGCTGAAATTTGGTCCTTCTATGTCTGAGACCTCCTAAGACCTTTACAACCTTTCAGTAGACTTCCAGATATAAGTAACCCACCATGTTTTCCCTATCAATTTTGGTGGATACCTTGTTAAAATTATGACAATTCTTAATTTAAATAATGTACATTTTCCACCGGGAAGTTTAAGATAATTGTTGGGAAAATAGAAGTGCTTATTATTTTATCATACACATCTAAAAATTATTTTCTTTCCCTGTTCCTAATTCCCTGGAAATGGGTGTTTCATTTCATGTTATGCAGGACCCGTATTAAGTGAAATGAATTCAAAACATATTTTCCATTCACTAAGTACAGCTCAAGTTTACTTAACTAGTTTAAGTGAGCATTCCATTATAGTTTTAATCATTTTCTCAGAGCTACTACAGTATTCAGGAAATAAATTTTAAATAAACACACATTCATGACAAATATGAGTTTTTCAGGGTCTGTTACCATTTTATGTTTTATAGGAAGTACTCCATATTGGATTGTGCGGAACTCTTGGGGAAGTTCGTGGGGAGTAGATGGCTATGCCTATGTTAAAATGGGAGGTAATATTTGTGGTGAGTTATGAATTTATGTTTAAAACTTCAGGCTGAATGTCAAGGGGTATGCTTTACATATATTAAAATTATAAACCTGTTCAGTCCATAGTATGCTTCCAATGTACTCAAATCACTTTTATAGTAATAATTTTCATCCTTCAACCAATTGATAAAATAGTGTTTTAAAAAGAGACACTATTGCACATGTTCACACTTTAAAAAGGAAGAAACACTATAGTAAAAACAAATATAATAAACAAAACATTATAAGATAAACTAATAATTTACCAAAGTTAACTACTTCAAAAACCAGATAAACACTAAATTTAGGAGGCTGAAATTCTCGAAAAACACCTCCTAGCTCCAGATTTACTTTTTATAACTGCATGAATTTTCCTTAATTTTTGTATTATAATACCTGCTCAAGGTTTATCAAGAATCACTTTTTCTTTGGATCAAAATATATAAAAACGTATTAAAAGTGAATTGAGATTGTTTCTTATTTAATATGTCCCTTGTTACCTGCAAAATTCTTATATAACACTCATGACACTCAACTGAGAGGCAAATGACAAACATGTTCTTTAATAGAAAAAAATGGTTTTGTTAATTAACCACAAACCAAATTGAAATAGCTAGTTAAATACAATAAAACCTTGGATTGCGAGTAACTTGGTTTGCGAGTGTTCTGCAAGATGAGCAAACATTTCTAATACATTTCAATGTGGTAAATGAGTGATGTCTTGCAATATGAGTAGTTTGTTTCCAGAAAGAATTATGCTTGCAAACCAACATATTACTATATTTTAAACTGTATTTTAAAATTTATATCCAAACCTATAAAAATTTGTGTGTGTGTGTGTGTGTGTGTGTGTGTTTCCCAATTTTATTTAACTTTAATTAATCTCAAACCTGAAGCCATATAATATAACTTTCTGTTAAGCACAACTTTGTTATTCAATAAGACTATTTTTTTACTAAACATAACAACTATTGTATCACATTAGTGGATGCGTTGGGCATACAGTTGTTTCTAGTATATCAATAATTTTCTTTTTGTTTTTTTTTTCTTTTTTTGTCACCGCCCCACTCCTCACCCCTCGATATCATACATATCTATTACAATTCCATTGACTCCACTCCCACACTATACTCCACATCCCGTGACTATATATATATTCAATTATTGAACTTTCAAATGGTATTTAAAATAATTCTATCAATTATTTTATCACCTCTAAGCAATGCATATGAGCACAATAAGGATTTCCAATACATTCACTTAATAAGTTCATAAGTCATTGGAGTTTGTTGTAATTTCTTGAAACAAAAATATTAGTTATCTCTTCTAATATCTGCTTTTGGAGTCTCCGTGTTTATACTGACAGCTATAACTGTTAAATTATTTTTAGTAGATGCTAACTTCTGAACCCAACTGAAAATTATTTTAATTTGCTATTTAAAAGGCATATAAATAGGAAATAGACTCGTACTAATAATTTCTTTTTTCTTAGGTATTGCAGATTTTGTTTCTGCCGTATTTGTGTGATATATTGATGAGGTGAAGAGACAACTACAAAAATGAAGGTTCATAATGAAATGTAGCAAGGTACTTCATTGTCAGCATTACTCACCTACAAAAGGTTCTAAGGCCTAATAAGTTGTAGAATGTTCCCTTGTCATAGAGAGCTGGACAGCCACATCAGTTGGAAGAACACCAGCACCATGCCCTGGGAGGAAATCTGTGGAATAGTTTCCTACCCTGGGATGAAGATCAGGTTAGGAGATATTTGTAGGTCTCTTCAATTTGAAGAGGCTATTATCTGACCTTGTTTGATTATTGTTTTTGTGTGGTTTTTATTTGTTTCTTTTTAATGTCATACTTCAGGTAGGATTAAAGAGGCGCTAAGAATCTCTTTCCCTTTGTGGGATATAATCACCTTTTAGCTTACCCAAATGTACAAGAATAGCCCATCTAAAATGATGTGTGCCTCTCACAATTACATTCACAGCCCCCTGAGGTGGAATTTCATAAGGATTTTGGAATACCAATAGCTTTACCTCAACAAATGGTGCTTACCTCTTGAACAGTAGAGAGATTATGTAGTAGCAAGCAAAAGGACAAAATCACTTTTTTAAGAGCTTGAAATTAAATGGCCAGTATGGCAACTGTGTGATAACAAAAACTCAAGTAGTGTTGCCTGAGAGACATATTATTATTGGGAAATTTTCATTGTCAGTAGGATTCCAATAGACTTTATTTCTTACTTTGTCCTCCCTATATTGAGGGAAAATGTATTTTGCAGCATTGTCCCAGTCTCTTTCTTACTCTTTACTGTGACACTCCTAAATTTTTCTGGTAGTTTGACTTCCCTGGCTAAGCAGCCTCAATATTTACTTTTCATTTCTATTGTATAACCATTGATTTTGCTCTGTGTAAGCTATCAGCATCAAGCTTTCATCTTTCACTTCCATCCATCATTTGTGGGCACTACCCGTTTCAAAGTCCAATTTCTTTAATCTCGGGTATCAGCCAGAATGTGAGTTTCCCAACAGCCTCTCTATTTTCCCAGTTTTCTGTTTATGTTTCCCAGACTCCCATTCTGTTTTTTTCTGTATCCATTTGGCTTCCACCTGGTTCCTCGCTCTTGATCCCATGTTCCCTCTTGCCTAAGTCATTATGTGTGGCTGTGTAAGAAACTCAGAGCATAAGAGCTCACCTTCTCATTGAATGTAAATACATCCACGTTAAATGAGTTAATATAAGAGAATTATATGAACTACTATATATGTAAGTAATTTCTTCTCTAAAATTCATGGTGGCTTTCGAATGTAAAATAACAAACATTTTAAATGTAGCAGCAACCACTAAAAAAAATTGAACACATCCTATTTGTCCTCTCCCTTTGGCCTTTATTTATTCATCCCCTTTATTAGAAAAAAGAAAATAAAAAATGAAACGTTGTATTTCTTTTTCTTACACCAACCAGAACCAATCTCCAAAGAATATGTGTTGACTCAGATTGACAAATGTTCCAGGAAGACCTACATTGATATTTTAATTAATATTCTAATTATCTAAGTATGCCAAAATGGAAATCTGTTTGTGTTTGATTACTGATTTCTATATAATGTAAATGCTTTTCTGATACTCTTTTTCAAATGTTAAAGAATTTTTAAAATTACAACATGATTAATACCTCTCAGCTGCTCTGGATTTTGATGACATTTGTAATAAAACAACCTATATTTGACTTTTAGTTAAGAAAACTCTGTCCGTAAGTGTATGGCTTATATTTTGTGAACACCGTGTTAACATGCTTTACATTCACACAAGAGTTTGCTCGCTTCCAAATCCATATATTTAATTTTTGGTTTTCTCCATAGACACCTTAACCTCAATGTCTCCAAAACACCATGCATCATCTTTCCAATTCCCCTCAAAAACACACAAAAAAAACCTGCATCTTCTAGAGTCTACTGTTAACAGCATCAGCATTATATAATCAACCAATCAGTAAAATTGTAGATATTTAATCAGGTCAACTGTATTTTACTAACCAATTACCTAGTCACCTGCCTCTCCATTTCTGCAGGCCCTTCCCACATGCATGTTTCTTTAGTATCTAGCTCCACTATTCAGTCCACCCAATAAAACCCATGTTTCTTAATCCAGGGGTTCTCAAAGAATGACCCCAGACCAGAAGCTACCTGAGGATTTGTAAAACACTTTGTTTTAATAAACCCTCCAGGTGATTCTGATGGATGTCATTATAATCCTACTATTCCTCCATTTTAAGTCATTGAGGGACCCCCGATGCCTAAAAGATGACATGCCAACTCTTTTAAATGAGTTCCCACAGAGAAGCCCTTTTCTACCTTCTCAGCTCAATCTCTGCTGCTCTACACATACATGTGCTGTGCTCCAGCCATCACAAACTACTTGAAGTTCACCCAGTAAGGCTAAGACAAAAGCAACGAAATCTTCACATAATAATTAGGAGTCATAATGAAAATCATCAAGGTTCCTGGGTGTGATTTTATAAAGACCTCAAAGTGCATACTAAATTAGGCAACCTTATAGTGACTTTGTGATCCATTTAAGAGTTATTATTTAGAGTATCATCAGCACTACAAGCAAGTTTGAATTGGGGCAAGGGTAGATGCTGGCATTATCAATTGTTTTGACATGTACTGTGAGAGTTACTGATACATCCTTTGAAAAAAATGCTTACAACTAGGTAGCTTTGTAACACCAAGAAATATAGATTAAAAGAACTGAATCAAATCATTTAGTCTGTTAAAGGAATAAACTTTGACAGATAGCATTTATTCCAAGATTCCAAGGCATCTTGGTGGCAGAACATCTTTTAACATACGTTTTCATTATTTTATGAGAAAAGCAAAGATTATGAGATAAATATTTTATTCCCATTATATAGATAGGAAACTGGGGCTTAAATTGCTGTTTGTACCAAAGTAAATAGTTAATAAGTCAGCCAGACTGTGCTGATTTCAGAGCTAGTGCTTTTAGCCACCATGCTCCATGTCTCTGTATTCTCCCAGCTTCACGAGCACCAGGTACTGTGTACATGTGCACACACACACGCAAACACACAAAAGCCATGTAGGCAAAAGCAATTCTGTGTGATTTACAGACAAACTGGACAATATGATCTTTATAAGAAAAAACTTGTAATTGAGGCCAAATAGTTCATTTCCATTAAGAACTTGCTGCTTGCTCTAGATCTCTAGGTCAAAGTTGATGTACATACATTTTAAATTCCTTGGATAATATTTTGTACTCCTCTCGTAGCACAAATTTAACTATTGGCAATATCCGGGCCAAGCTAGAAAAAGAATAAAACTCACGTCTGAGCTGAACTCTTAGTCTGATAGTTCTTACTAGAAATGAACTGGGTCATTGTGTAGTCTGTTTACTTCTCCTTTCCTCTGGAAGGAACATTCTCCACTTGAGGGAACTATTTACTCATTCCTACCTCAACCCTGCTGTGTATGAGAGCTGACTCTATCTCCCGGCCCACAAGCATTGGAGCTGGGACGAGTGCCTTTGCCCTCTGAGTCCAGAGGTGCTAAACACTGGGACCTAGCCTGCAGGAGGAGTGGGTCTCCATCAGGGAAGAATAAAGCCAACACCTACAGAGAAGAGGTGAGACACACAGAATCCTCAAAGTGGGCCAGGAACATAATACTCCAGGAACTGGACCCATCCCCGTGTCCCTAAGAGTTCCCCAGGTTCCTCCGCAGTTCTTCAAATGAGTGGAGTAATTGTCCAGTAAATCCTCTTTAAGCAAGCTTCACATAGATTTCTGTCATTAGTCACCAAAAGTCCTAACAAATGCATGCCATGTTACCACAACAATATATTGCAGAAAGACAAATGTTTATTACTTAAAAAAAAATTGGATTGAGTAAATCTTTGTACAGAATGACACATTTTTATTGCATAAAATATTTTAAATAGCTGAAGTTTACAAGTGTATAAAGTATGAAACAATGAAATAATGTTTATGTTAAATGTTTACATGAAGGTAAGTATCAGGGAACATTAATTTTCTTTATAGCAAAACACCCTATGTACAATATTACAGTTTAACTGAATTTTCTTTTTTTTTTTTCCTTTTTTTTTAGCTGAGCCAGTCTGCCACCTGTTGGCAGCTCAGCGGCAGCTCAGCTAGAGGGCCGGGACTTGATCCTGCAATCCTGTTGGCTCAGAGCTGAGCCACTCGGCCGGCCCTCCTGAATTAATTTTTAAATGTTTCAATATCATCACAAAAATGCTTAATCTTATATCATCACAATAAATGAAGTAAAATTATGTCCAGGATTGAATCAGAGCCCTGTAGCGCTTAACTATGTATATACATATATTACATTAGGACCTCTTTGTGTATTTATGAAAATCCATAGGGAAAAAAACGCAGAGAAATCAGTGGTCTTCACAGATTTTTGAAGATGATTTTAATCTGATTCTTCACTGCTGAAGTAAGAGCTGTCACAGTATTCAGCCGTGTAAAGGAATTTATGGATAATTGGGTTCATCTTTGGTATCCAGTGTCGGGGAACCAGGTATGTCGAAAGATTAAATAAATCTACAAATACCTTGTACCTGTCACTGGAAAAACACACATATACAGATGTTTTAGATTTATTGACATGAAAGATTTAAAAATTTTCTATGAAATTTTATTTCTCAGGTAATGATATTTTGCCATAAATAATTAGTATTTAACATTAGACATTGCATGTTGTGATATATATTTTAGTAAGTAGTATTAATATTGACATTGCCTCATTTTTATTCTGTATCCCAAGTTCATGCCTAAATAACAGTATTATTAACAGTGTTTCATTGATTCTGTCCAGGCTGCTTCACATTCAAAACTAGAATCTTATTGTCATGCTACCTTCATAAAGATAAGGAAGGGTATGTTTTTGTTTCTGAATTTTAAAGGACAGTATGCAAAAGAATAAATTTAAAGCATGCAGAGTTTTTAGTTGTTCGTTAGAAAATATTTCCCACTTGCAAATAGCTGCCAGGTAACTGACATGAATGGATTAATAAATCGAAATGCCATCTTAGATTCATAATAAATGCCTGTAAGAGTGGTTTTAACACTTAAAGTTGCTTTTGTGTTTGTCAGCTATCTTAACTGTTGCAGTTTTATAGCAGAAGAGTATTTGCCTTTGAAGTCAAATTTGGGTTCAAATCCTGTTCTGTCATTTGCAACTCGTGTGATCTTGGATTAGTCGTCTAAACCTCAGTGTCTTCGTTTCTAACTCTGTAAAGTAAAAACTACAATCCATTCCTCTGTCCAGGCCTTTGTGAAGATTTGATGAGATAATGACACACTAGAAATGCTATTAGTGTGAATTATTCCCACCACCCGTTGATGTGTGTGCTTATTTGGTACAATCATTTACTCTTTCATGCTTAACAGAATTTATTCCCGGGAAAAAGAAAATATGTAATGATTCTGAAAATCCAAACCAATGAATTTTCTAAATCGTTCAATCTAGGGTTTCTTCCCAGGGAAAGTAAAAATATAAAAATGATAAAAAACTGAATCTGTGCACTTTATAATTTAATGAATCTGGTGGTAAGAGTAGGGATGGAAATGTACTGTGAAGAATTTCGGAGACTAAATGTGAATATCTAGCATATTTTGAGCTGATTCACCTTTCCCAAGAGGCCTTGTAAGTTTCCCAGTTTTCAGATGTATCTCTCTATATATTCATCTACCTGTATGTAATGCTGTGAATATTAAATAAGAACACAAATGTCCTAGAAATCTCTCTACCATGTTTTAAGTGCTCAATAAATGATGACATTTTTCTCGTAAAAATATGAAGAGGGCTCTCCTGGAGTAGATGGAACTAGTTTTTATACTACAAAATAGAGTCATATCAGGAAACGAGAAACCATTTTTTTATCTGTGTCATCTCGCCAAGAGGACATTAGTGGACTTTATGATGACTGTTTTGGTCTAGTCCAAACTTGAGTCAGAATCAGTTGAATTTTTGCTACCTAGAATAACTCCTTCATGTCTTCACATGTCATGCAGCCATTGGTACCATGCCCCTTTCACCATAGGATCAAAATGATGAATTTCCAGAACAAGGGATTTTTACAATGACTTCCAAATGTTCTAATAGGAATATCTTAATCTAACTACAAATGTGTTGTCAGCAGTCAGATGGGAGCAAATAGTAATGACTTTTCCTAGATAATGCACGTGCTCGTATATACGGAGAAATAAAGACTTGCTGACTTCCACCAGGATAAGAAGGTGACTTCCCCCCATCTTACCTCACTGTTGAGCGCAGGTACTGGTAGCCTGAGGACCCACCGGTGCCAGCTTTGCTGCCAAGCATCCTGTGCACCAGGCACACGTGGTTATCTAAGCAAACACACAGATTAACTCCATAGATATTTTTCTGCCATTAGTTTCACAATGTTCTAAAAACAAGGGGTTGGTAATGATTATTGCTTCTGAGAAAAGGCTCACATCTTATCACTTAGCCATATGGAAGGTTCACGTGTGACAGCCACATGAGACCAGCAGGTTGCCTGGCATCCCACTCGGTTCAGGCTATGTACATGTGATTCCATCCATATTTACATTTGGCCTCCAAACACCAGAGGGTGAGCAGGGCTACATTACGACTTTCATGAGCTCTGGTCATTTTGCCTTAATGGGTCTTTTCCTCCATTTAAATATATATATATATATATATATATATATATATATATATATATTTTTTTTTTTAAATTATATTTTAAAATTGTATTGGCATAAAGATGAATAAATTACTATTATATCTTAACATATTTCCTTTGACCTAAAATTTATATTTTCCTTCTGATTATCAACTAAAACATTTTAATGGGCCCCCAAAGTTACTGTGGGTTCTAGGCACTGTGTCTGTTGTATATACTGGATAAATAGACCCTGGGAGAGAGTAATTGTCAAGCTGATTTTTCTTTCTTTAAAAGCAACTTACACACAAAAGAGGGAAGAAAAGAGAGAGCAGGAATGCGGGCAGACAGAAGGATAAAAGGATAAAGGAACAGGATGTGGGGTGAAGAATTATGGAGGTCAAGGTGAGGAGTAGGTAACTTACATCTCCATTTGGTCATGAGTGTGTCTATGTTCATAAGAGAAGTTAGCAACTGGAAAGGAACCTGGAATCTGGGTTCTTCCCTAAAGGAGAAGTAAGAGTAAGGAATCTGTTCAAGCAACCGCAGTGTTAGGAAGAGCATGAGTTCTAGCATCTGTTGGCCTGGAAACAATTGCTAACTTCGCCTCTTAGGAGCAGTGACATCTTTGAATTATTCTCTCAGTCTTAGTTTCTTTGACTCAGAAATGAAGATACTACCACTCAATTTGCAGCATTGAGGAGTCTAGAATATTCCATGCAATATACATGAAGTAACCAGCCAGAATCACACCTAACATTGACTCTCATTAAAAGGCAGACATATACACAAATCTCAGATTTCCCAGCTAATATTAGTCAAAACCTTCTTCCAAGCAGATATTAAAACAGAAAATCAAAGACTGTTTTTTGTTGCTTCTCTTTCTCTCTCTCTCTCTATATATATATATAGATAGATAGATAGATAGATAGATAGATAGATAGATACATATGTATGTATGCATGTATGTATGTATATCCTTTCTTCATCTAATCCTTCAACTCTCAGTACCTTTTCTGCTTAGGATACATAAGCTCGAGTGGCATGCATTTAGTAAGAGTTTAGGACAAGAAAAGATTTTGTTTATCTTGCCATTCTAAAGACACAGATTTGAAAAGATTAAAAATTACAAGTAACTAGGATATCCATTAAACGGGTATTTTTGCTAGTGTGTTTATCCATTGTTCTGACTCATTTAGTTCATGAAACATGATAAGTGAAACCTCCATACATAAGAAGCAGGAGAACATGGATACTTAATGGACACCTCAATGAATTAAACAGTGAAGACAATTTTACTTGAAATTGCTGAATAAGTAGAACAACAGTTTATAAGGTGTTTTCACTTTATCCATTCTTTTTTCATTTATAAAACAGGAATAACTCTGCAACATTGTTTAATGACAGAACACATTTCATTACTGAATTTCTGATGCAGATTAAACTTTGGCTCTTTAGGACACTTAATGTCACATAATAGAATTTAATGAAAAGAATATTTGATTTGTTTGGTTTTTTTTCTAACCAACTACAGAGATAAGGTTATACTCTTACTATTTAAAAGAAAGAAAATTTCATGAAACCTTACAATTAGTTATTTTCTAAGATTTCCCCCAAAACTAAATAATTTATTAAAACTTTGATTGCAATTTATAAGTTTTATACTTGGTATATTATCTATATCCAATCCTCAGTTTTAACTCTGCTTCTTCTCTTAATTTGTTTTTACCTGTAAAAATATATCATCAAGGCCCCCTGAAGTGCTTTGTATGACAGTCGTCTTTCACCTGCAAGATACATAGCAAGTTTTAATTTAATAGGTCATTTAGGGAAGACACATTAATTTGGCACCATCACCTTAAATAATTAAGTGTTATATGTTTTTAGAAAACAATGTAAGTTTAGTTTAACATTTTTATACCTTAGCTTGAAATTGGAAAACTATCATATAAAACATTAGTATTGGATTTTAAATGGCAAACTAAAATATGTATGTATTTAAAATTCTCAAACCCTTTAAATATAATATTAGGAAAACTGATATAGGAAATACTTAACTTTCATGATAGGATGTATTTTTCAAGTAAAATGGTATGATGACTTACTTTTTAAAAAGTTAAACAAGACTCATTCCAAGTTTCATTTGAAAGTACTTTCGCTAATTCACTTAAAATTATTTAAATTACTTAAAATCACTTGGCTTAAAGGGGCAAAACATTATATAAAATCTCATACATATGCTCTAACAAAAGGCTTTGTTCCATCTGTAGGAAAACAAGATTTTGCTATTCTTTATTGAGGTTTTATAAAAATCTAAGTATAACAACCTTTAAGCTTATAGAAATTTATACTAACTTCATATACAGCTAGGCCTTATATTTGTATTATAAAAATCAATTTTCACTTCTATTCTGCTTATTTACAAGATTTATAGGTACTTTATAATAAAAGTTCCAAAGAAAAACATGAGTTTCAAACAGATAAAAGAAAAGAGTTAAATAATAAAGGTGTTGATTGTACTGTTCGATTAATTTCAGAAAATAACAGCTCGATATTAATTATGGCAGAGATCTAAATGTGTGCCTTTCCTGTTCTGCTTGGGAAGCTCATGTCCTTGGGCAAGCCACCCTCACCCTTACAATGCAGTTATCCCTTCCCTCTCCTATTGCCACTGTAGCGTTTATAATTAACACAATTGTCTTCATTGCTGTTCCTATTA